TAATCGTGGACGTGTACCATATACTCTACACGTAGCCCATATGTGCGAGTATGGGCTCACCAGCTAGTTCGCACACCGCTGGGCCACTGTCCCTAGCCGGTGGTCATGCTCTGGGAGCCCTTATACCGGGACCCGTTAAAACTAGAACCGTCACGGAAGTGCTATGCAAAGCATAACGATCGTTGTCCTGTCATTGGATGTACGCGTCCGTACCCTCGTGATTGGATAGGGGTATCCCCCAAATGCAATGACAAGGCTCAACGGCGGCCTGTGAGACCACTACAATGACAAGCATACAGGCAAGAGAGAGAGAGGAGGTTTGAGGTATGCTTGGAAGCTATCATTATCAATGGGTATTGGTTTGATAGTTGAGACTTCCACTGCTCCCTAACTAGGTTTATATAGAACAATTGGGAGAGAGTTTTAGATGGTTACCACATCCTTTCTTCATCATCTCAAGGCAACAATTTTAAAATAACAAAATTGTATTTCATATTTTGGTATATGTTTTCGATAGTAAATTTGAAAATTAGATTCAAATTTAAGCCGATGTCAGCGTTAGGTTGAATATAACTATTAATAATTAATTTATAAATCGGTTTTACATTACCAATTTTGTATAAATATTGTTTTACAATATTATTGTGAGATATTGTATCGGTTGGAGAGAGGAAGATCTCATATAGGTTGGAGAGGAGAATTAAGCATTTTTTATAAGTGTGTGGAGAACTAAACATTTTTTTATCTTGAGGGGAAGTCCGAAAGGAAAAACCCAAATAAGACAATATATGTACTAGTGATGGGCTTAGGCTGTTACAAATGAAATCAGAGCCAGACACCGGGCGATGTGCCTGTGAGGAGACTAAACCTCAATGGGTGGTAGACACGAGATGGTGTGTCAATAAGGACATTGGACCTCATGTGCCAGTAAGTTCATTGGGCCTCATGTGCCAGCAAGGAGGCCAAGCAACGAAGGGGGTGGACATGAGGCAATGTGTCAGTGAAGAGGCTAAGCCCTGAAGTGGGGTGGACATGAGATCCCACATTGGTTGGGGAGGAGAACGAAACATTCTTTATAAGGGTGTGGAAACATTTCTCTAGCATACGCGTTTTAAAAACCTTGAGAGAAAGCCCGAAAGGAAAACCCAAAATGAACAATATCTACTGGTAGTGAGTTTGGACTGTTACAGAAACATTCATTATAAGAGTGTGGAAGCTAGCGGACACATTTTATAAGGGTGTGGAAGCTAGCAAACCTCTTCCTAGTAGACGCGTTTTATTCTTTAGTCTACTAGTGGTGGACTTAGACTCTTACAAATGGTATTAAAACCAGATACTGATCGGTGTGCCTGTGAGAACGTTAGGCTCCAAAGGGTAGTGAAAAGATTCTCCAAAAGGTAGTGAAAAGATTCTACATCCGTTGGTGAGGAAAACGAAATCAAGCTTAGGCTATTACAATTATATTTTACAAAACTCCAACAAACTATTTTAAGGTAGTCGACTCTCATGAATACATGCATAGTGTGAGTGTCAGCTTTCAACGTCCATGTAAATATAAAATATTAATTAATATGATATAATTTTTATGTTAAAAATAAAATTAATTTAAACAATAAAATAATTTAATTTTAATTAGAGTTCACAAATTTTAATTTAAACAATAATACTAAGAAAACTATGTAGAGTTCATAAATTTAATTTTTAAAACTAAAAAATAAAATAGTAAATAGTTTTCAAATTTTAATTTAAATTTTGAAAACAGATAAAAGAAATAGACTAAATTAATAAAAATATCCCTTTAATTTTTTTTTATAGAAATAGTTAATAATTTGTTTTAAAAATACGTTAAAGTTTTCTTGTTTTATTTTAATATTATATTTAAAAATATCTATGAAAGCATTAACATCTTTTATCATTATAAAAAAATTCAAAAAAATATTTATTATCTATAATTTTTTTTAATGTTACTTATATATTTTTAATTTTTTAAAAAACATAAAAATATTTTGGAAATTTATAAAAAAGTTCAAAAATATTAATAAAATTTTGGAAAATCAAAAGTATTTAATTTGTTAAAAAACTAAGGGTAAAATGAATGAACGGTTGGGATTTGAGAAACTTCACAGCCGTTCATTTAAATCAACAGACCACGTGAATGTGGACCCCACTTGTACAATGTAGAAGTCAACGGTTTTGTTCAGATTGTCAGCTCCGATTCACACATTCGTATCCCAATTTCAGAACACATAGAAACTATCGACCTTTACCAAGCCGAGTCATAAGTAAGACAAGACAGAGGTAACGATATCGCCATGAGTTTCAGAGATACGCTTGTTGAAGAGTTAGTCCGTAACTTCGAAAGTTGATGTTTCGAAGAAAATTTGGGCATGCAATTCTAAAGTCAAGTTCGTCTATATGAAATATCAAAGCTCGCCAAATTTGGTGTCAGTAGAACACCATATGAACGCTCCACGATACCATATGTCTGATCATCAAAATCATGTCTCTATCCACCATACAAAAAATGCATCAAAATATACCTGGTGTCCGCTCTCAATTACTCTCGTGCTATTGGCCTAAACAATCAAACCTTATGTCACACTTTTTCATTGAGATGTTCCACAAGCTTTAGAAATCGAAAATGGTGGCTTCTTGAATTGAACTCAAAATTTTACCCCAAGATAATTGGATTCGTTTCTCAATTCTATGGTTTCGTTTTTGTTTAACAAAGTTTAAGTTGAGAATTATGGTAAATCTTCTACTTTTATACCAATTGAAATCATCATTCAAACCAAAAATCAAGCTAACCCGGGTTAAATCAAGCTAACCCTGGTTAAGTAAAATTCTTAGGAAGACCAAAAGGGTGTGATTTATCGTAATGAATCAACATGTAGGTACAATATTCAAATTTTTGAGGCAGACAAAAAAACAAGAGTCGCTCTTTTGGTTGGTAGGTAAACTAAATGTTACATTGTTGTTCTAAGTTTAGATCTAGATCTAGGCACACGGTTTCACAACTTATGAAGTTTTGCCATTTCTGGCATAAATAAGGCTAGCCACTTTAGTCGAAGAAAAGAAAGATTGGAAAACTAGTACAAATCTCTAGGGATACGCTTCAGTTTCGAGACCCATTAACAATGTCGTGGAACCAAGACTTGAACTTCCTAGAGGCTAGAGTAAGGCTTATGGATACTTACTAGGTTGAGGATGCGATGAGGGCCCTTTCCCTCAGTGATGTTCGACAAGAGCCTGTTATTGAGTGCTAGTCCAACAAACCAGGCTAGAGGGTGTGCGAGCCCACCTAGTGAGTCCATACTTGCATGCGTTGACCATATGTAAAGATGTACTATACATCTGATCTTTCCCAGACTAGAATGTTGCCTAAGGTCATGCTATGATAGGTCAAAAGATTGCATGTGTTTGCATTCCTTGATCCCGACAGTGGAGTTACAAATTGAGTATTTCTTAAAATAAGTTATGTGCTACTCTTATATTTCAGGTAAAGATAAGACACATCTGTATGGATGACGACGGTGTCGCAATGAAGGCTATGAAATCATTGTTAGAGTAATTGCGTTATGTCTTTTTGTAGCCCTTAGGTTAGAGTAGACCACTGATTTGTTTTTACATTTCGTTTCAAATGCTAAGTTATTATTTTCTGCTTTACTATTTTTTCTTGTGTAATTTTTTTTAAAACTTTTTTTTATGGTTTTACTTTAAATGTTTTAAGTCCATAATATCATTTGAAATTATTTTAAATGAACAATTTTAAATGAACATTTTTTCACTTAAGAGAGGAGTGACCTTATTTTTAATAGAAAAATAGGGAAAAAAGCCATTACAAGAGGTAGATTTTTTTTATGGGAGTTGAGACACGTTTAAAACTTTTGGTATATGTGGTTGAGGAGGTTGCTCCTAACAAATTATATTGTCATGTGTGAACATTTAGAACTTTTTGGCATACAGGTGGTTGAAGTATTTTTAGCCGACAAAGTAGTTGCTCCTAATAAATTCTTTGTACCCATTAAGTGTGACAACAGGAGCTAACCGCTAACCAAATAACTTGCACTTAATGGAGGAGTGACCTTATTTTTAAAATAAAAATCGTGAAAAAAGCCATTACAAGAGGTAGATTTTTTTATGGGAGTTGAGACACGTTTAAAACTTTTGGTATATATGTGATTGAATTATATTTTAGCCGATAGAGGTAGTTGTTCCTAATAAATTATATTGTCATGTGTGACCATTTAAAACTTTTTGGCATATAGGTGGTTGAAGTATTTTTAGCCGGTAAAGTAGTTGCTCCTAATAAATTCTTTGTACCCATTAAGTGTGACAAAACCAATACCCTCAACCTCCTTGGCAATGGTTTGAATCATCAAAAGTTAAGGAATTAAATAAGGATTAATATTAAAATGGTTACGAAATTAATAACCAAATTGATAATATTCTTATTTAATCAAAACGGTTAATAACTAAATTAAATAAAAAAACTTATGACGGTTTACCATGACCTTGAACCTTATAATCATGAACGACCTTAATAATCATGTATATGACTTACTTTCCAGGTCTAATTTATTAAGAAAGTAATTCATATATGTTCGATGAAAGTCTCACATTGCTAATTTAGGGAATGATCATGGGTTTATAATCAAGAAATACTATTTTTATTGGTATGATGCCTTTTGGGGAAGCCCAAAGCAAAACCGTGAGAACTTATGCTCAAAATGGATAATATCAATTGGGGAGGGTCGTGTTCATCTAACATGGTATCAGAGTCATGCCCTAAACTTAGGAATGTCAATAGAATCCTCAAATGTGAGACATAGTCAGAAAATATGGAATTTTTTCCATATACACGTGGTTTCTCGACCTTTCTTTATTTTTATTAAATTAGACTTAATAATCATGAACGACCTTGAACCTTATAAGAAGGAGGGAACCGCAGGCTTCAATCCATTAAGAACAAAAAAAGCTTTTATCGGAAACACTTTCCAAGCTCTAAGCACCCAAACCCTTGCTCCTCTTCAGTCTCAATGGCTAGCGGTAAATGAATTACTTTCTTTTATTTTTCTTCCTAATCCATCATTCCATCACATTAGTTCAGTTCTACGTCCCAATTTCCATCCAAAATTCTTAACGAAATACTCTCATTTCAAATATTTTGTCATAAATATTTAGGAACATTCTTTATAAAGATGTGTTAGGAATCCCGGATCTCCACAATAATATGATATTGTTCACTTTTGAAGGCTTTTCCTTTTGGGCGTTTTCCCAAAAGACCTCAACCAATGGAGATGTATTCCGTACTTGTAAACCCGTGATCATTCCCTAAATTAGCCAATGTAGGACTAGCTTCCAACAATTCTCTTTCTAACCGACACATTTTAAAAACTTTGAAGAAAAGCCCAAAAGAGAAAGCCTTCAAAAGTAAAAACTCACCTCAGACAGCAGTGAGCTTAGACCGTTACAATTGCGTTCTTCCCTAAACTTTGTGCTTCACGTGTTTGCAGTTACGGATACCGATAGCAGTCAGCTTATATTAATAAGACGAAGCTGCTTTCCCGAAGACTTCGTATTTGGAGCAGCATCTTCAGCTTACCAGGTTGAGTAAAAGTTACATATACAAACAATAATAAATTAAGAACAAAGAATGAGTATTGATTTGTTATGGTGTGATCAGTATGAAGGTGCTGTTTATGATTATGCCAACGGAGGTATTGCTATTCATTATGGCAAAGGGCTAAGTATTTGGGATACCTTCACTAAAAACCATCCAGGTATCTCCATTTCTCTCTCAATGTTGCTTATTTTGTTGAATTGGACACACAATTATGGGTCTCAATGTTGTTTATTTGTTAAAATTTCAGAGAGGGTTGTTGATCACAGCAATGGAGACAAAGCTGTTGATGAGTATCATCGCTATAAGGAAGACGTTGCCCTCATGAAGGACATAGGTTTTGATGTTTATAGATTCTCAATTGCTTGGTCAAGAATTTTTCCAAGTAAGGGCTTAGAGGTGAATTTAATTAATATTTTGGAAGCTTAAGTTTATGAACATTAATGTTGTTGTTGAATTTCAGCCGGAAAGCTTTGTGGGGGTGTGAACCAACAGGGAGTTCGGTACTACCATAATCTCATCGATGAAATGCTTGCAAATGGTGGGTTCTTCTTCTATTATTCATTTAATTAGTGATTCATCTCATTGATTATGTTAAGCTAAGTTTTATTAATCTCAAAATGAGTCATATAATCTCCATTTATGTAGGCATCAAACCTTATGTCACACTATTTCATTGGGATGTTCCTCAAGATTTAGAAACCGAGTATGGTGGATTCTTGAATCTTCAAATTGTGTAAGTAAATTTCTATGCTATTATCATATTTTCCCTCAATTTAGGAATCACGAATCTCCACAATGATATGATGTTGTCCACTTTCAATATAAGCTCTCGTGACTTTGCTTTGAGCTTTTGCAAAAGGCCTCGTACCAATGGAGATAGTATTCCTTGATTATAAACCCATGATCATTTTCTGAATTAGCGGATGGGACTTTCATCCAACAATAACAATAGCAATGTGGGTTTTGTAGGGACTAAATTATTTATATATAGGCTTTAATTATCCCTTTTGGTTTAAATTATCATATCATTAATGCTAATTGATTTACATAATCTAATAACACATTCACTACAAAGTATACAAATTAAATTAATATTGTAGAAAATATTTTTTTAGTCTTGTTTATTACCAAAATAAATAAGGTCTTTAGTAACAATGGCTTTATTTTAGATTTACATTTCTAGAACTAAAATCTTCGATCATAAACAAATTTGATTTTGGACTTGTAAGAATTTGGAGAAAAGTTCATAATTAGTTATTTACGTAAGATCCATCCTCTTTCGACTTTTCATTTTGAGTTTCCTCTCAAAATTTTAAAAAAGTGTCTACTAGGGAGAGGTTTTCACACGCTTACAAAGAATGTTTAGTTCCCCTTTACAACAGACGTGGATCTCACAATGTTTGTAACAACTCAAGCCAACCGCTATCAAATATTGTATTTTTTGAACTTTCCCTTCAGGGTTTTAAAACGCATCTACCAGAAACATTTCCACTCTTCTAAGAAATGTTTCATTCCTCTCCGACCACCACATTGTAGGAAAGGAGAATGAAACATTCCTTATAAGATGTGAAAACTTTTCCCTAGTAGACGCGTTTTAAAACCGTGAGGTGTTTTAAAACCATGAAGTTGATAGTGATACGTAATGGGCCAAAGTGGACAATATTTACTGAACTTTGGGCTGATACAAATGGTATTATAGTTAGACATTGAGAAGTGTGCCAGCGAGAATGCTGGTCGACAACAGGGGTGGATTGAAAGATCCCACGTTAGTTGGAGAGAGGAACGAAACATTTCTTATAAGGTGTGAAAACCTCTCCTTAGTAGACATGTTTTAAAATCCTAAGGCTGATGGTAATAAAAAGATAATATCTACTAGCGGTGAGATTGAATGACAACAGTATTCAATAACTTTGCATTAAGAAAAAGTGAAATGTTTTGAAAGACATAAAAATAATGGTGCAAATTATTTGCAGAGATGATTTTCGAGACTTTGCTGAGTTTTGTTTCAAGGAGTATGGACAAAAAGTGAAACATTGGATAACCTTAAATGAACCAGTCATGTTCGCATCCAAAGGCTATGGAACTGGAGAACTCGCACCCGGTAGGGGTGCAGAGTGGGATCCAAGTCGCTATCTTGGTGGTAATTCTGGCACCGAACCATACACCGTTGGTCACCACCTTATTCTTGCACACGCCGCAGCTGCCAACCGTTACAAGACCAAATATAAGGTTCTCTTTTGTTGTTTAATAAAGTTTAAGTTGGGAGCTCATGTTTATGCATATTTAAATTGAATGGTATTCATAGGCAGACCAAAAGGGCGAGATTGGCATCACATTGGCATCAACATGGTACATACCATATTCAGATTCTGAGGAAGACAACAAAGCTAGAGATCGGGCTTTTGATTTTTCACTTGGTTGGTAAGTAAATTAATATCTCTAAGAACTCAACATTTTGTTGCAAATATATGACCAAATAATTAAATGCATTTAGGATGTTGCATCCAATTGTTTATGGAGATTATCCACAAAGCATGAGAGATTTGGTGGGGTGGAGATTGCCCAAATTCACAAAGGACGAAACCACTTTCATCATGAACTCCTTTGATTTTCTTGGCATAAACTATTACACAGCTAATTATGCAAAACACAATCCCAATAACGTTCACCGAGGTGAAAGCTATTTGAATGATATTCATGCAACTCTTTCAAGTATGCACTCTTTCAAATATACATTTTAATTCATCTATACTATGACATATCAATTCTATAATTTGACTTTTTATATAATATCTTTGCATGGTGGTAGCTGATCGTGATAAAATCTCAATTGGTCCAAAGGTAATAGCGTTGAACTATTATGACAATAATAGTGTTTGAAATTGTTATTTTATTTTGAAGTTTAAATTCCTTTTATGCCTATTTAAATCCAATAATTTGCTATTTATGAATGTTCGTAGGCGAGTCCAGAGTCTTGGCTAGCTGTTTATCCCAAAGGAATACAAGACTTGTTGATATATATAAAGGATAATTATCACAATCCAGTTATCTATATTACAGAAAATGGTATTGAAAAGGAGTTTATAATTTAATTATATGTTTAATTAGTTTGCTTATTAGTCAAACTTTACTATGGCAGGATACCTCGACTTTGATAGCCCCAATACTAAACATTTAATAAGAGATGAGGCCAGAGTCAAATATATTCATGACCATCTCATTTATCTTCTTAAAGCATTGAAGTAAGATTAAGCTATTAATTACTTGTTTTTAATTATGATATTTTAGTGAAACTTCTATTCCTACTATTTGAACATTAGTTGATTGTAATTGTGTTATATTTTGGAAAATGTTGTAGAGATGGTGTCAGGGTACGTGGCTATTTTGCATGGTCATTCTTGGACAACTATGAATGGACATGTGGATACACTATGCGTTTTGGTCTCATCTTTGTTGATTTCAACAAGAATTTGATGAGAATTCCGAAAGATTCATCAAAATGGTTCCACCGTTTTCTCAAGACCTGAAAATGATACACAAACCGTCCGTATTGTATGATATATTATCATTTTGTGTGTTGTTATTGCAACCTTTTAGAGCACTTACTACTGGGAGAAGATACTAAATAAATTGCAATGACAAATGCTTTTATTTTTTACGAAGTAACTTTATGTTTTCTATCGAAGGTATGAAGTAAAATAAAGACCGCTATGTTTTCTATCGGTGGTATTAAGTAAGAGTTGTAGCATTTTGATTTTATACCTTTAAAAAGTTGGAGCTTGAACTTTGGAGTGTGTTTAATAAGTATCCATTATAAACTCATTTAGTTTAACCTTAGAAAGTTACTCCCTATATTTTTTTTCACATAGTAGTCTACGGGAAAGTTACTCTATGGATAAATTAGTCTTACTATTTGCTTGGTTGGATGAATTAAATAAAGTATAAACGACACATGCTCAGATGCCCTCCATATGTAGTAGTCTATGATTATATAACATATATTGTGGTATATTGTGCTATGACTATGTATGCTACTTTATATTGTAAGTTAGATTATTAGATGTTTATGTTAGGGTATGGATCTGGTTGTGACTTCCATGTCATATGGTGCATAATACCTATATATATGATATATCATGCACACTATGTTAGCATGATTACTTCATGATTGTGAAATATTGTTACGCCACGTTTATTTATGAATAATGAATGTACAATTTGCATCATATGTTTATGTCATAAATTAAAATTTGAAGGACCTCATGTATTTTATATGTCATGTGCATCGGGATACTTCTCCGTTGTGATAGTATGAACGCGTACATTACGATATCAATATATGATATAATATTATGTTGGCTCCTTTCTCCTCTATAGCTCTAATAGCATGAGCGTGCACTAGTTGAAGGGTATGCCCAAGAGATGCGTATACGCCCACTTGGTGAGTTCATATGCGCGTACGTGGGCCGTGTGTAGAGAAGTACTATACGTTCAATTTTTTGCCCGGACGAAAAAGCAGAGTTCAAAACTATGAAATGTTTTTTTTTTAAAAGATAGGTCCCACCATGATTGTTTGTGTATGCATTTTTCGACATTAATAATAGAGTTATTTACTGAGTATTTCTTAAAATACTCAAGTCACGTGCTACTCTCATTTTTCCAATAAAGGTAAAACATCTTTGCATCACTAAATCATACATAAGCATTGTCTTAGTAATTATTGATTATCATCATAGTAGCACATGCATCACATTATACATAACTATCTAGATCATTGATAATAGAAACATGTGTTAATCATACAACATTTAATTCATTCAACGAAGCTTTAAAGCGTTCTAACAATACATTCACATAAAGTCCAATTTTACTATCAATGAAAGGACCTTGAACCAATTCAAAACCAAAGGAATTCAATTGATCTGACCCCACAACGATTTTTTATTGGAAGGTTTGCTCTCGATCGTCGCCAGTTTTTGTCAACACTTCAAGCCGCATGCAAAGCCTCCGTACGCAACCTTCTCCTTTGTCTCTCGTTAACTGGTTCACAGGACCTTGTCTAGTGCTAACCTCTCAATTCCTTCTCAATTTTGCTCATCTCCCTTGAGATATTACTCTCTCATTTTCATTGTCCCACAGTGCATTTGATTGATAGGTCTAATGGGTCAAATTAAGTAGTAGTCGGCTACTCTCTTGTGACATTCGAGAAAAGGAGAGATACATGAATGAACTATAACTACATCTGAATGGAAGTGATTCTGATGATAGAATGATTAATAAAGACATAAAATAATTGAAAGCCACTACATTTACCAACAAAGTGTACTTACCTTTTCGATAACTCAATCATAAGAACTCTATGGTTAAGCGTGCATTACTTGAAGTAATTCTATAGTGGGTGACTTTTTTGAGTGGTGTATAGAGCATGTTGGAAGGAATCGTGATGATACGTGGGGATAGTCTTCACTCTTAAGAAGTGAGGAGTAAGTAACGTGATCATATTGCAAGGGATTTAGGAGAATGCTAGTGCCATCAAATGCCGAATCCAAATTTTGAATCCTGATTTTGTCACTACCTATACTAACAACCTGCACTTTTATTTTTACTAGTTCAATTATAAGAACTCTATGGTTAAATGTGCTTTACTTGGAGTGGGTAACCACTTTAGAATTTTTCTGGAATGCATGTGAATGAGAACAAAACATATTCGAATAACTCGTGTTGATTTGTGTGATAGTCTAAATTCTTAAGAAGTAAGAACACCATATATATAAAGAAGTATTACACATCTACTCATCCTCCAAAATAAAAGTATAATCCTAGATGAGTCATAATTTTAGATCCCATAAATCATGCATGTATTTGCATTTTTTTTTATGCAAGAATGGAGCTCACTTACTAAATATTTTAAAACTCTTTTAATTTTTAATTATTTATTTTTTTGGGATAAAGACAACAAGATTCTAGACAAGTGACAACGGCTGTCGTGGGGCCATGGGACAGACAGTCGGCTATTGCTTTAGTCAACCATGTTACTTTCTTTGAAGACTCGTTTGAATCTAAATTTTAGTTATTTTATTTACAACTAGTGTTTAGTTTTATAGTTTTAAGTTTCCAATGATCTACACTAAAGAGTTCTAGGTAAGATCTAACTATTTTTGTTTGAAATTAATTAATGATTTCCTCACGTGTTACCAATAAGGTTGTTTTATATATATATATAAGTGACAAAACTATTAAAAATATTAAATTTAGTATCCCTCGTAATTTAAACCTTTGGGTAATTGAGCCGATAGAGATGGTTGCACATGGCTGGTTGCCTTGATTGAGCTGCTCATGTTTGACGTTTTTTCTTGATTCCGACGAACAACTAGAACAACCAACCCACTTGGTTAACTAAAATAATGTCATGGAAACCTGTTGTCGTAAGATATTTAAACATTTTTTTGTTGAAGTTTGAATGAGATCCAACATAGAAGTATTACTATCCTAGCACGTGATTATTGAAGTTTACGTACGAAACTTCTTTACGACACATTTAATGATATAAAAACATTGAAATCTTCGTATTTTTTGTATTAAAAATATCTTTAAAACTTTCCAAGATTTTAGGTAGAAACCGTACTTTGTTCTCATGTAGTTCTAACGAAAAAGCTAACTCATATGCTTACAAACTATAGATATTATGTGGACCGTGCTCCTCATAACAAGTTTATTATCGGATAATTTGTATAATTTTCACGTAATACACTAATGGCACTTCATAACATGTGTATCTATGCACGATCCTAGAAGACCTAACTCACTAATTCCAACATGGACCTTATCTATTTAGATGGGTTACTGTTAAAGATTAGCTGACAATCTTTTAATAGTCCTCAACTTGTATTCAATAATACATTGGGAAGGACCATTATTTTATATAATAAATACTCAATTATTATTATTATTATTATTTTTTAATTTCAATTTTATTTTTTTAAAAGTTCAAATATTACCGTCTTAAATTTTGCAATGGCAAGAAGTAAACAAACGCCTCTGTGATGAAGCAACACACCGAGTGTCAAGGATAAATGAGTGTCATTACAACAAATATAACAAATATGTATCGCTTTATTTAAGCTAAATTAATAAATATACCTTTAAAGTTTGCACTTTATATAAAAAAAATACTCTAAAACTTATAAAAGTTCGAAATAATATCTTTAAGCTTTCCAAACATTTAAAACTACCTTTACATTAAAAAAAAAAATAAAAAATTATTTTTGTTAAGGTAGTTGCATTTGTCGGTGTGAGAGGAAACAAATAATAATAATTATTATTTTGTTTATGTCATCATTTTGTCTTTTACACTCGCCTCCTCTCAAGGTGAGTTAACAATGTAGCAAACCTGTTCAAGGAGCCCTCACCGTTTCCACACGTGATATATAAGCACTCATTATGAAGTAAACTATTGACGTAGTCCTTTGTCCTCTCTTAGAATAGGTTTATGGAATCACTGTCTAGTCTCTTAACTTGTTTTCTATACACAACAGCAACTCCTGAAGTCATCACAGTAACTCCTGAAGTCATCACGATGCACTATCTTATTTGACCTTAATCAAACTCGATGATACACATTTCTAGATGCCTATTGCTTGGTAAGTGCATAATTGGATATGAGTTAAGTCATTGAAGTACGGTAGAAAACAAACGATGAGTTTTGTCCATATGCTAAATCAACTTTGGGCAACAGTGAATGACAAGGACAATTAGAGTTTGACAGTTGTCCAAAGAGTTCGTAGCGCTAGGGTGCTGCATGGTGGAACCAAAATGAACGTCGAAGGGACCAAAGAGAGAGAGATAGCGACATTAGATACTAGTTAGATAGATACATTTTTTAATTAAAAAAATATTGTTTGTTTTTATTCTAATAAATATCCATTCAAAACGGAACTCTACGTTGTAGCGGAAGCGACACACCCACAAACATATATGAACATAGAAACATAAATATTTATGCAGCTCGGAGAGAAGAAATTTTCCTACATCCACAAGTGACTTGTTTATAAGTATACCATTCACACTACACAGTCTCACTTATAAAATTTCTCTCAATTGTCTCTAGACAAATACAAGATGACACTAACTCCACATCTCATAACAATATTAGACAAACCTTTATATAAACATAATAATACTCATTTTTTTTTATGTATCAATATAGAAGATGAACCAAATAAATCTCAATAGATGCATGAATAGAATCGAGAACGAACAAATTTTTTTTATAAATTCATGAGCGAACTATTCATGACAATTCACGACAGTTTTTAACCGAAAAAAAAAACATTATTATCCTTTTAACAAAGAAGAAAATGAATGAATATTTGGTTACGTTTCGGATCCCTTTTCTAATTTTCTCTTTTCCCTCTTCCTCCACCCAAATAAACAAATAAAAGAAAAGAAAAAAAAACCAATTAGAAGATTAAAAAAAAAATGTTTTTTTTGCTTGTTTGTTTGTGTTCTAAATTTGGGATCAAAATTTGTGAGTTGGAGCTGACAATCTGACAAGATTAATACATTAAACAAGTGCGGTCCACATTCACGTGAAGAAATAGAGTTAAAAAGTAAAAAATTAATAAAAATTTACACTAAATTAATAAAAATTTAATTTTAAAAAATTAGCTTAGAATTAGGTTAAAAAAGATAGTATTCTTTCCCCTCGAACAAAGCATGCCTTCCCTAGATTCGATTTTTTTTTTCTTTTGGAGTCTTCAAACAAGGTATGCCCTTTGTTTGATACTTTAGTACTTTTTTACTATGCCTTCGAGGCTCACAATATTTTGTTCAACATCTGAGAATTTTATTAGCATGGCTCTAATACCATGATAGGAATTACGGATCTCCACAATGGTACGTTCATTTTTTCTAAAAATTCTAATACTCATGGTTTTACTTTGGGTTTCTCCAAAAGGCTTCGTACCGATGGAGATAGTATTCGTTGATTATAAACCCATGATCATTTCTTAAATTGATCGATGTGGGACATTCATCTAACATATACGTTCATTTTTTTTTTCTAAAAATTCAATTTTCTTAAGAAATAAATGAAAAAAAAATTAGTTAGTTTTGAGAAAATACTTTTCAAATTTGAGCAGCCCACGTTTTTTTTTTGGTATTTCTTGGTGGGTCATAACTTATCCATATCCTCTCCCTCTCCAATTTGTCTTCCTACCTTACAACTTACCACTTACGTGTACGAAATTATTAATGTTCAACAATAAACCTAAAAATTAAAGTATTAAACATTATAGACGTTGACGCCCAAATCCATTCTATGTATGTAAAAAAGATATTTAGATATCTATACTATGAATAGCTTCCTTAAATTGGTTTGGAGTTTTGTATTAATTTCGTATCTAAGAGCTTTGAAATCGTTAGGACGTAGTGACCATACTTTTGTATTGAAATAGAGTTGCTACGATATGCATGACATGATCTTTTTATGTAGGAACGTTCATTTAAAATAAGTTATAAAATGATGTCGTGGACTTAAACGTTTGTATTAAAATACTTAAAACAAAACAAAGAAAAATAATCGAGGTGAGATATAAATAAAACCAAAGAAAAGATTTAAATGATGCACTAATAAGATTTACAAAATAAAAATGCAATTACCCTCCTATAGTGTGAGATGCCACATTGATTGGAGAGAGGAACGAGTGTGAACAGGATGGTGGAAAATGAAGGGAGGTGGATTGTGGGATCCCACATGGGTTGAGAGGAGAATTAAATATTCTTTATAAGTGTGTGGAAATCTCTCCCTAGCAGACACGTTTTAAAACTTTGAAGGGAATCCCAAAAGGAAAAGCCCAAAGAGAGCAATATCTGCTAGCGATATCTTGGGGTGTTATAAATGGTATTAGAGTCAGACATTGGGTGGTGTGCCAGCAAGGACGCTGAGCCCCGAAAGGGGGTGGACATCAAGCGGTGTGTTAGCGAGGACGTTGGGCCCCTATGAATGCCTGCAAGGATGCTAGGTCACAAAAGTGGTGGATTGTAGGTTGAAGAGTGGAACAAAGCATTCTTTATAAGGGTGTGAGAACCTGTCCCAAAGGTGTAGAAACTTCTCCATAACAAATACGTTTTAAAACTTTAAGGTAAGCTCAGACCGAAAAGCACAAAAAGGACAACATCTGTTAGCGATGGACTTAGACCGACACACCAATCCTATGGTCTTTAAGAACTTTAAAATAGTTACAAGTTGAGTTACAAGTTTAATATCAACTTGTTTGAAGTTGACCATATAATAAACCATTTAATGATTGAAAGCTAATTTCAATCCACCTTAATAACTAAAGACTCTTTTTCTTGTCCAAGTAGTTTAACTAGATTTAGGTCTCCCATTTCTTAAATGTTGAATTAATTATTTATGTTAAATTCAAAACTTATGAAATTTAGTATTGAAAAAGTTCGTTTTGTTGAATTTAAAATTTTAGTTTTGAGATAATGAAGAAGAGTAGATGGTAACCATCTAAAACTCTCTCCCAAGGTCTCTATATAAAGCTAGTTAGAGAGTAGTGAAAGTCTCAACTATCAAACCAATACCCATTGGTAACGATGGCTTCCAAGCATACCTCAAACCTCCTCTCTCTTGCCTGTATGCTTGTCATTGTAGTGGCCTCAAAGGCCGCCGTTGAGCCAAGCCATCCCATCGATGCTGTAAGGCGAAGCAGCTTTCCTAAAGGCTTTGTTTTTGGTTCTTCCTCTTCTGCTTATCAGGTGAACCAAAAAAGCTGTTCATTTTTTCATTTTGATTCTCCAAAATGCATAAACATTGATGTCATGTTGTTTCTTTATGAACTTTGTTCAGTATGAAGGTGCTGCTTTCAAGTATGGAAAGGGTCCAAGTATTTGGGATACCTACACTCACCAACATCCAGGTTCTTTCTCTTTCTCTCTCTCAAAATACTCTCTCTAAAAGGTATTAAAAAAATTAATTTACATTGTTTTTGGGAAATTGTAGAGAGAATCGCGGATGGTAGTAACGGAGATAGAGCTGCTGATTCGTACCATCGTTACAAGGTTAGTGCAACAACCCGACTCAATACATCAAATTTAGTGTTCAGACATTCTATTAGTAAAATCATTTATCTCGATGTTTCTCCACGAACAAAATATAATATCTCTTATCTCCTTTTTATTATGTAAAACTAATTAATAGTTCTCCATATGTATTACAGGAAGATGTTGCCATTATGAAACGGATAGGTTTTGATGCCTACAGATTCTCAATAAGTTGGCCGAGACTTTTGCCAAGTAAGAAAATTAAACATCCTTTTACTAATTATTTAAACATACTATCTTCAAATACTATATTTTCTGTTTAGGATTTGGTTTGGTGGATTAATTCACACGTACAAATTTAAAAAATATTGTTATGAGATTTCATATCAGTTAGACAACGGAACGGAACATTCTTTACAAGAGTGTGAAAATTTCTCCTTAGCAAACATGTTTTAAAACCTTGAAACTAAACACGATACATAAATAAAACTATCTTATTGTAGATTAGTGATTACATTTGTTATTAACATTATAATCCTTCTTTATTAATGTAGAGGGAAAACTTAGTGGTGGGGTGAATACGCAAGGAATTGTGTACTACAACAACCTCATCAATGAGCTCCTTGCCCATGGTTGGTATCATCACAATATTTGGTTAAATCTTATTGATGTTTTCAAACATTTTGGTCAAATTTAGTCAACATATGACGTGGTTATGATTTCATCAATGTTCGTAGGCATTAAACCCTATGTCACACTTTTTCATTGGGATCTCCCCCAAGCTTTACAAGATGAATATCAAGGGTTCATGGACGATCGAATTATGTGAGTAACTTATTTCAATTTTTTCCACTATTATATAATAATAATAATAAATGACAAGATGACATTATCGATCAATAATTTTCACCGATATGAACATAGTTCAGTATTGATAGTAGAAATTCATTGCAGAAATGATTTTCGAGATTATGCTGAACTTTGCTTCAAGGAGTTTGGAAATAAAGTGAAGCATTGGATCACCTTCAACGAACAATACATTTTCATCACAAATGGTTATGTGTTTGGACAATTTGCCCCTGGCCGATGTTCTTCTTGGCAACCATTTAATTGCCTTGGTGGAGATTCTGCAACCGAACCATACATTGTTGGTCACAACCAAATTCTAGCTCATGCTGCAGCTGTTAATGTTTACAAGACTAAATATCAGGTTATCTCCTTATTACTATAATAGCTATGAGATACCACATCAATTAGAGAGGAAAACAAAACATTATTTATAAGGGTGTGAAAACCTCTATCTGGTAGAAGTATTTTAAAATCGTGAGGCTGACGGCGATATGTCATGGGGCAAAGCAGACGATATTTGCTAGCGATAGGCTTGGACTATTACAAATAGTATCAGAGTCAAACACCGGAAGGTGTGCTAGCGAGAATGCTAGCCTCCAAGGAAGGTGAATTGTGAGATCCCACCTCGGTTGGAGAGGGGAACTAAGCATTCTTTATAAGAATGTGGAAATCTCTCCCTAGTAAATGTATTTTAAAATCGTGAGATTGACGGCAATACGTAACGGGTCAAAGCGGACAATATGTGCTAGTATATATACCTTTGCTTCATATTAACTAAGTTATTAACTTAAATATATTGAATTAACATGTAGGCCCACCAAAAAGGGGAAATTGGTGTCACATTGTTTTCGAATTGGTATGTCCCATATTCCGATGCTAAAGAAGACAAAGAAGCTACTAGTCGAGCTTTTGATTTTTCTCTTGGTTGGTAAGTAAAATGATACATAGTACTACCTTGAAATTTCCAAAAACAAATTATATCCATGTTCCCAAATTAATTAATTGAGTAATATTGTAGGTTCCTGCATCCTCTCGTCTATGGAGATTATCCAACCAGCATGAGAACTCTTGTGAAGGAGAGATTGCCCAAATTCACAAACGAACAAAGAATTTTGATCACAAATTCTTATGATTTTATTGGCATAAACTACTATACAGCTAACTATGCCAAATTCGATGCGAATGCAACTAGTGGAAACACGAGCTATGTGAATGATATTCGCGCCACTCTTTCTAGTACGAATTTAATTAAGTTGATACTTTCTAATAGTTCGCTGAAATAGAAATAGACCAACTCATTAAAAATAACTTAAAAAGAACTTATTTTTTTATTTTTTTATTTTTTTTTGTTTGAATTCATGTTTTTTTTTTCTCATGCAAATAAAACATTTAACTATGTTTCATTGACTTTGTGTAATGATGGGTTCGGATGGTAGCGGATCGTGATGGAGTCTCAATTGGTCCAAAGGTAATTATTTAATGTGTAAACTTTTCTTCAATAATGTCTTTTTAACTATATTGATTTCTCCATGATTACTTTAATGATTTGTAATCCATGTCTGTACAGGTGAATGCATCGTCCTGGCTTGCTGCTTATCCAGTAGGATTAAAAAATTTGATGATATATATAAAGGACGTTTATAAAAATCCGATTATCTACATCACAGAAAATGGTATAAAAATCACTTTTTTACATCATCTTGAAGACAAAAAAGAAAAAAGCATATCTACTTTCCTTATTAATGAATTAAATTTTGCATTTCAGGATCCCTCGATTTTGATAGCCCCCATGTTGACAAACTACTTAGGGACTTCTTTCGAATTAAATACTATCATAACCATCTCAAGAATCTACGCGATGCAATCACGTAAGTAACTAGAGATGAAAGAATACACTTTTAGACGTATGTTTGATGCTAACTCCTTTTTTGAACGATATTGTAGGGCTGGTGTAAGAGTAAAGTCATACTTTGCATGGTCGTTGTTGGACGTTTTTGAATGGTCGAGTGGATTTACTGTGCGCTTTGGTGTCGTCTACATTGATTACAAACATAACTTGACGAGAATCGCTAAAGACTCATCAAAGTGGTTACACAATTTCCTAATCACCTAAATATGATTCGCAAACCCTCCAATGCCATTTTCTTCTATCATGTCAGTAGCTTTGTCATGCAACCGTAACGATCGGTAGAAGCAATTAAACCTCTTATCTTTCTATTTTGGGTTTGGTATTAATAAATGACATGAACTCTTTTTCTTTGTCTCTATGCTTAAATTTTCCTATTTTACCTTTGTTATACTACAAAAATTAATTTTTTTTTCTTAAATTTTGAGGAGCGTAATATCAGGTGAATTATAGGTAGGGGTGAAAAGTTTAACACAACTCTTTGTGGAATACACTCACACTCTTTATTAACACAAATCGAGAAACACAAATCGAGAAGAGATTACAAGAGACTATAGAATATTACTGCACTTTGCTTTGCTTGAGAATGCATGTGATTTTTTTAGGTTTCTTGGGATGAAAACCTTAGTAGGGTGGGGTATTTATAAGAGAGACTAGACAAGTTATTCATAAAATATCAAATCATTTATTCCTAAAATACCTAAATCATTTTCGTAAAATATTTAGGTATCTTTATTCCTAAAATACTTACATTACTTTGCTAAAATATATAGACAATGGATTCATACAATTATTGAGCTTGACTCTATTGGGCTAATGATGATACTTTAACACTCCCCCTCAACACTAGTTCTCGTTCGCCACACCATGTTGAGTTGATAGCAAAAACCCTAATATTTTTCCAATATCAGCCCTCTTCTAGACAAGTTTGCAACTTGGTCATCTGTGTTCTTCCTTCAAGACTTTCTCTCTAATAAAATGGTAATGCACCTCCCCATGCTTTGTTCTAGCATGAAATCTTGAATTTTATGCTAGGCAAACCGCATATTGGTTGTGGCAATGAATTTATATTGGATAGTCAAATTTTTTGTGCAAATCCTCCGTTAAGAGTTTCAGCCATGTACTTATTTGAGCTGCTCCAATCACTGCTTTGTACTCTGCTTCTGTAGTTGACAATGATACTGTCAGTTGTCTTTTCCTACACCAAGAAATTATTTTTAAATCGAGCTTGAACACATACCCGGTGCTTGATCTTTGGGTATCGTGATATCCTACATAGTCAACATCATTGTAACGACCCGGGAAAGAAAGGAAAAAATATATATACATATAATAAAAATAAATAAATAAATAAATAAATAAATAAATAAAAAAAAAGAACTCAGTCGCCGGAAAACCCGCGAGTTTTCCGGCGACCGCCGAGTTTCGCGGAACCCACGCGAAACCACGGCCACAGCACGCCCACCCTCAACCCACGACACCCTGCAAAGTTTCAGAGACCTGCAAAGGGAGAAAAGAGAGAAAATTTGGAGAGAGAGAGAGAGATTTCGGACAAACGTCGGCGAGTGTCCAGTTTCTCCGACGAGGCCTCAAACCACCCTCAAAGTAACACCAAACGGCCTGTTACCACCATAAGAGGGATCCCTAACGAAAGCCCAATAACTCGGGGTGCGTTTTGTGTTATTTCCTAAGCGTCGTCGTCGGTGACCGAGGTCGGAAAGATTAGGGTTCTTAATCGATTCTTAGATCCATGGCTTTTAGGAGCTTTTAGGCCGCAAAACTCCCAGAAAAGAGAGAAGGACGACAAACAAAGAGGAAAA